GTAGGATTAAAAAAAAACTGGAATGGGATTAATGCGAGATCAGACATAACAGAAGAAAATATCAATGAACTTGGAAAAAATTGCAATGGAAATTATGCAAAAATTGGATCACAGAGAGGATAAAAGAGAAAAAAAAAATCAGCAGGGCATCAGTGAGATATAGAACAACATCAAGAAGTCTGACATACAGTGTAACTATAGTACCAAAAGGAGAAGTTGTGGAGTGAAAAAATACATTTTTGAAGAAATAGCCAAACGTTTTCCTAATTTGATGGAATTTATAAACCTGTAGATCCAAGAAACTCAATGAAACTCAAGTGGGATAGATACAAAGAAAATCATACCACGACATATCATAAGCAAATTGCACAAAATGATTCATAGAAATAAAATCTTATAACAAGGCAAATGCATAATTTATATTTCAATAAAAATACAAGTAAATTGTGGGGCTGGTTCCACGGCCGAGTGGTCAAGTTCGCACGCTCCGCTGCAGGCAGCCCAGTGTTTCATTGGTTCAAATCCTGGGCACGGACATGGCACTGCTCATCAAACCACGCTGAGGCAGTGTCCCACATGCCACAACTAGAAGGACCCACTACGAAGAATATACAACTACCTACCAGGGGGCTTTGAGGAGAAAAAGGAAAAAAATAAAATCTTTAAAAAAAAATACAAGTAAATTGAAATCTTATTAGAAACTGCACAAGCAGAAGAAAAGACAAAGGTATTTTTAAAGTACTGCAAGGAACTTTCAACTTAGAATTCTTCATCCAATGATAACATTCTTTAATAATAAAGATGAAATAAAAAGTTTGTCAGAGAAACAAAGGCTGAGATAATCGATTGCTAGCAGATCTACACTATAAGAAGTGTTAAAGGGATTTCTTCTGGTGTTAGAAAAATAGCACCAAATGAAAGTTTGGGTCTACACAGAGAAATGAAGAACTCTGAAACAGTTAATATTGGGTAAATATAAAACACTTTTTATTTTCATGTCAATTCCTTTTAAAGGTAATTAAATGTTTGGTATAAGAATAATAACATATTGTGGAGTTTATAGAATATATGAAGTAAAATATATGAAATAATTTTTAAGTGACAGGAGAAAGAAATAGAAGTATATTTTAATAAGGTTCTTAATATTATTTGAAGTCAAACTTTGGCAAATTAAATGCTAGGATAATTACTAAACAACACAAATAAGTATAGTCAATAAGTCAGTAATGGAGATAAAGTTATACACTACAGAAATATTCAACTCACTCAAGAAAAGGCTAGGAGAGAAAAAATAAGGAAAATAGAATATGTGAGACAAAAAAATAGTGAGATGGTAGATTTAAGCCATATCAATTATTAAAAGTAAACTGTCTATACACTTCAATTAAAAGACAGAGATTGTCAGACTGGACAAAATATTATTGTCTTTGAGAATCTCTTTTTAACTATAAAGTCATATAACATTTTTAAAATTAAAGATTGAAAAACCATAAAGCATCAAACATTAATCCTTAGAAAGTCTCATTGGCTATATTAATATCAGAAAAAATAGATTTCAGAATAAAAAATGACTAGGACAAAAAGGGATATTTCAAAATGATAAAAAGGTGAATTTATCAAGTATAACTAATAATCATAAATATGTATACGCTTGATAAAAATGCTTCAATTTATATGAAGCAAAACTGATAGGAGCCAAAACAGAAATAGATCAAATTGCACTACAGTTTCAGATTTTAACGCTCCTCTTTAGAATTCAATAGGGCAAACTGAGAGAAATTTGTAGAGATTAGCAGTCTTGTACAAGACTATCAATCAACTTGAACTAATTGTCATTTATAGAAAACTCCACCCAACTACAGCAAAATAAACATTTGTTGCAAGCGCGAAAAGAACATTCCCTAAGAGACCATATGTCTGGCCGTGAAACTAGTCTTAATACATTTCAAAAGATTGACTACATGTTCTGACCACAACTGAATTGAATTAAATACTTTTTTAAAAAGTCTGAAAACAGCTAATATTTGGAAATTAAACGACATACTTCTAAATGGCCCATGGACCAAAGAAGAAATTGAAGAATATTTTGAAGTAATTAAAAGTTTACCAAAACATGATATTAGATGCACCTAAAGCAGTGGTTAAAATGAAATTTAAAGCTTGAAATGCACAGAAAAAAATGAAGGTGCAAAATCAATGACCAGATTTCTACTATAGAGAACTAGAAAAGCAGTGGGAATGAAACCTCAAGTAAGTAGCAGGAAGGGAATAATGAAAATAAGTACAAATGTTGACGGTATAGTGAACTAAAAAATCGTAGAGGAAAATCAATGAAATCAAAGTCGTTCTATTGGAAATATCAATACATGATTAAATTCTGGCTAGACTATCTAAACTAATGAAAGAAAAAAGGGGAGAAGAAATCAATGACAGACATCAGAAATGAAAGAGAAATCACTGTAGTTCCTTCAAAGTTAAAACAATAGTAAAGGAATATAATGAAGAAAGTGATACCAGTTTATGAAACAATATTAATAAAGTGAAACATTCTTTGAAAGACATAAATTTCTATAACTGATTCAAGAAGAAGTAGAAAACCTGGACATCCCTATTACTATTAAACACAGTGAATTCATAATATTAGAATGTCCTATAAAGAAAACCTTAGTTCCAGATAGCTTCACAGGTAAATTCTATAGGAACCTTTCAGAAAATCAAGGAAAAGATAATACTTCCCAACTCAATTTATGATACCATCATTATCTTGATACCAATTCCTGGCAAAACCATTATGAGAAAGAAAATTTCAGACCTACATCCTTCATTAATGCAGACTCAAACTTCTGGGTGTGTATCCAAAGGAAGTGAAATCAGGACCTCAACGAGAGATGTGCACTCTCATGTTTATTGTGGCATTACTCACAATCGCCAAGGTATGGAAACAACTAAATGTCCTTCTGCAGGTGAATGGATTAAAAAAATTGTAATACACACATACAGTGGAATATTATTCAACCTTAACAAAGGATATCCTGACATTTCTGACAATATGGATGAAACTGGAGGACATTATATATATATATATATATATATATATACAGTAAAATAAGCTCAACAAAGAAAGACAGTTATCACATGATCTCAAGTATATGTGGAATCTAAAATAGTCAAACTCATACACTCAGAGTGTAGAATGGTGGTTGCTAGGGGCTAGGGGGTAGGGAAATGGAGAGATGTTAGTCAAAGGGCGCAAATTTTTGGTCATTCAGAATGAATAATTTCTGTAGATCTAACGTACAACATGACAAGTACTTTATACTTGGAATTTGCTAAGAGGGTAGATCTTAAATGTTGCCATCACACACACACATACGCAAAGAAAAGAAAAAGAAAACGGTAAGTATGCCGGGTGATGGATTTGTTAATTAGCTCTGTTGTAGTAAGCATTTCACAGTGCACATGTATATATCAAATATGAAGTTACATACCTTAAATATATACAATTTTTTTCTCAATTGTAACTCAATAAAGCTGTTACAAAAATATTGGAAAATCAATCCAGTAATATACAAAAACACAACACATGCTCAAGTTTGGTTTACCCTGTGAATGCAAGGTTGGTTTAACACTTCAAAAAATCAATTTAATTCACAATATTAACAGAGTAAAAAAGAAAAGCAATTGGGGCTGGCCCCGTGGCCAAGTGGTTAAGTTCACGTGCTCTGCTGCAGGCAGCCCAGTGTTTCGTTGGTTTGAATCCTGGGTGCGGACATGGCACTGCTCATCAAACCATGCTGAGGCAGTGTCCCACATGCCACAACTAGAAGGACCCACAACGAAGAATATACAACTACGTACCGGGGGGCTTTGGGGAGAAAAAAATAAAAAAAAAAAAGAAAAGCAATAGATCATCCAAATTGATGAAGAAAGACATTGGATAAAATTCCACACCTTACCGGACTAAAAAGAAAAAAAAAATCAGCAAATTAGAAGTAGAAAGGAACTTCCTCAATCTGATAAATGGCATCTACCAGAAAGTGTCTGACTACTATCCTAAGTAATGTTGAAAGACTGAATGCTTTCCCCCTAAGACCAATAACAAGGCAGTATGTCTACTAGCTTCATCTTTCTTCAACATTATATTGGGGGAAGATAAAAGGCACACAAATTGGAAAGTAAAAAGCTAAATAGTCTTTATTTGCATTACACACGCCATATATAGAAAATCTAAAGGAATCTGCAAGAGCTACTAGAAGTGATAAGTGACTTTAGCAAGGTCATCTAATATAAGTAGCAATATTTTGATTAATAGTAATGATTAATATTGTCTTTATAAACTGGCAATGAAGATTTACAACTTAAAATAAAAAGAGTATCATTTAAAATAGCATACAAAAATATGAAACTAACAAAATATGTGTAGTATTACGTACTGAAAATTCAAAGAAAAAACGTTACTGAGACTAATTGAAGACATAAAAAATGGAAAGAACTAGAAATTCCAGAAATAACTCATATTTATGTTTTCCATTGATTTTTGACAAAAATACCAAATAGAAATACCAAGAAGGAATGGAAGTCTTTTCATGGTGCTGGAACGTTTAAATACACGTAGGAGAAAAAACACACCTGACATGTAAGGAAACCTCAATAAGTTACTGTTTTCTCATTTTTCATGCCAAGTGCAGTTGATATGATGTCACTTCAACTGATCCATTTCACTTGCATGGGAGCAGATAGGATGTGGCTAAGTGGAAACATCTTAAATTACAGCTGTTTTGGGTCAGTAGTGACAAAATAGAGATGGTTGCTTATGGTATGAATACTGGAAATGTCATTGTACTGCTTTTTTTTTTTAATTTAGGAAGTAAACATATTGATCCATTTTTAATTCAGAATGCAAGCAAGAAAAAATTCTCTGTTTTAAAATGACTTTAACGTGCCCTCTCTCTATTGGAGTGAACAGAGAATGCTGAGTTCACCAGAGAGAAGATACTCACCAAAAAGAACAGAGGCAGGGGAGAGTCCTTGAACCAGAGAGAGTTTGTGGAGACACACAGTCCTTTTACTTGGCGGTAAAGCAAACAAACAACACACGACAGCCCGTATTGAAACAAGACAAAGTCTTCTCCAGAAATAAGTATTCAAGTCTTAAGGATTTGTTCTGAAAAATGCATAAGGAATGAATAGAACTTTTATTTGTAAGTAATATGCATGTGTGTGTATGTGCATACAGGTGCGTCAAGCCACTAGAGGGAAGAAAAAAAGGCAGTATGAAAAAAAAAGGCACTCTGAGGGTCAACCTAAAAAGGAATAATGATTTCTTTATCTCTGCTGTGACATCTGACACATCACTGTTTCTAGCTTTTTCAACATGAATGATGTATACACTACAGCATCTGTGAGCATCAGTTTCCTCATTAGTCAAAGAAATCCATTAGATTGAAGGGTCTGTTTAGTTCATTCCAGCTTTAACAGATCCTATAGCATCTCCAACATCTTCTTTGAGAAACGTCAACCCAATTTCTAAAGCACCCTTGACAGTTAAAGAAATGCTATATCGGCCCCTTTTCACTCAAAAAACAAATTTGCTTAGTATGGAAAAATGTTTACAGTCTGTGGGGTGATGATCAGGAGAGAGGAAATTTTATAACCTCCCTTGCAGAGCTCTTAATGGACGCCATAGCCACCTATTAAAAGTACTGTTTAAAAGACATCTGCCAGATGTTTCCCATGACGCCGGCTTTCCTGAGAAAAGAGTGACGTCATGTGAGCCAGATGCCAACCCCATCTAATTTGTTGAGACATAAATCAATCCCAATAAGGATATTAGATGAAGGAGGAAAGAGTGTTTTTATAGACTGTAGAGAAGTGATAGCTGAGGAAATAACTCGAAATGGACTGAGGATTATTGGTGGTCCTTGGAGACTTAGAAGTGAAATATGAGCTCCTTAAAACCTCTCTTTGGTCTTTAGTTTTCTTTAAAGTGTTCTATGATTCAGTGGAAATCCTACTCCTTTTTTTACCATGAATATTAATGACACTACTTTGGTTGGTATTAGTGCTTTTAGACCTGTATATAAAAGTCTGTTACTATTGTGCCTATAGGAATACTGAAGATCTCAGATGCAATTGAATTTGGTTCATCACTGACTGTTAATGACACTTGTTTATCAAAAAGGGCATTTGCTGGGGGCAGGCCTGGTAGCTTCAGCTGCCTAGGGTACACTGGTTCTGAACCTGGGCATGGACATATCTACCGCTTATCAGGCCATGTTCTGGCAGGCGCCCCACAGGTAAAATAGAGGAAGATGGGCATGGATGGTAGCTCAGAGCCAATCTTCCTCAGGAAAAAAAAAAAGAGAGAGAATTGGCAGCAAATGTTAGCTCAGAGCTAATCTTCCTCAAAAAAAAAAAAAAAAGCGTTCACTGCTTTATGCTTCTGTATGTGTTTGCGTGTATCAATGAACCATCTTGGGGAGCAAAATGTCCTGTTTACAATGGATAACTAGGTAGGCTTAGAGTAGTTTCCTTCAGACCACATCAACAAGTTCTCCCACATTCTTTTGAGTTTTTCTTACACTAGCCTGGTTTCTTCTGCCTTTAAACCTAATCAGATCTCTCCTCTTTTGAAAAGTGTGGTGATAATATTTCATTAATAGAATTACCTAATAGAATTACTCTTCGGAATTTTATTCTCAGAAAAATCACACTGCCTATCCACTTCTATTTGCATTTTTGGTTGTAAAATCAGGTTAACAGACTATTTGTCATTAACCTCAAAGGACAAATAAGTTACAGAAGGCCATCTTAAATAGACATATAGTGTGGGAAGGATATTCTCTTCCCTCTGTTTCAGTGATGGCCTTAGGATTGAATGTGTGTACACAAACCATAGCTTCCAAAGGGAGAATTGAAAATCTAAAGCATAGTCCAGAGGTCACCATTCCAACTGAGCTGCAGGCAAATATCAAACAGTCTAGGAATCTAGGTCAGGGGCAAGAATTGAAGCCACGTCTATCTCTAGTGTCAGGGCATAAGGTACAAAGAATCCAGTGTAGAAAATATGAGAGTTGAAGTCATAGATGAGAGGTAGAGTTCAAATCTGGCAATGAGGAAGAAAAAATAAGAATCAGGCCTGGAACAGTCACTTTGTCTAGGCACCAATGAGACGTGGTCTAACTTAATTCAAGGAAAGAGCTGCTGTTGGCAAGAGATTTACTTGAAGGAACGGGCACCTAGCTTCTTGGATAAGCAGCATGCTGTCTCCCAAAGGTACTGCTGGTGGCTGACAATAGGCGTTTTACTGTGCTTGCTTTTAGAGTCACTACCGTCCCATCAAGAGGGTGTTTCCCTGACTCACAACTCAGCGGCCAACAGCTTGTCTTAACCAACCATTTACAAAGTGAGAAGACACCACTACATAATTGCTACTTTATTGACTGCTCTAATCGTACTCCTATCTGCATGTGGTCCAACAGTTCACATGTCAGCAAATTTTGAGGATGTCTCTAACCCAGAGATTTTTTTTAATGGCTATAGAAACAAATAAATACTGTACATGGAAATGTTTATAGAAAGAAAATTTCTATATATGGAAAACAAAATTTCACCATCTTCACTTTTACCAAAGATTTGCTGGTGATACAGATATCTTCACATTCCTCACAACTGCACCAACATGCCTTTAAGGTGTGCTTGAGATCCTTTTCTACCTCAGTTCTGTGCTTCCTCATTGCAGGAGACGTTCAAAGGCATTTTCCCTTAGGTGAAATTCCTAGGCCCCTCATCACTCACACTGAAATGAAACAGGATGTCTTCCCTCTCTAGGAACTACAGAGATTTTAGTGAGATTCGTCTTTTGTTTTACCACCTCTTCTTCCAAAATCTAAAGTCTCGAAAATGTGGACATGGTGGAGAATAGAAGATGGATGGGGGTGGATAAGAACATGGGACTCCCTGATCCTGCTTTGCCCATTCACCTCCTTTCCTTAGACCCTAGTTATTCATTCTAGCTCCCTATCCTTTACGATAGGTCCTTTCTGTGGAGCTCTCAGACCTCTCCTACATATAGATTCCTATAACTGGCCCTCCCTTAAGCCAAGAGATGCCTGAATCCCAGAAAATGGATTTTTATGGCAAGGCATCATTGAACACTACGATAAATAGAAGTATTGGTGTTCTCAGGTGTTGGGGTAGACACATGGATCTGAACACGCTTTAAGTCTTCAAAGGCTGAAGGACCAAGAGCTTTGCTTTCAAAATGTACTTAGAGTCTTTAAATTTCAGCCTCTTTATGTATAGAGTAAGCAGAAACAGGCTCACTTGGGGCTGTCTGGAACACAGGTGTTTTTTTCTAAGCCCTGTTTCACTCTCCATAAACCAGGGAAGACTTTAAAAGCCCCGTCAACTCTGTCGTATTTTTTCCCTGAAAACCATTAAGAAACATCAAGCATAACCTTGTAAATTTCATGAAGACTTAATCTTTGTCTTTCTTTTGTTGAATTTTCGGTTTATCTATCTATCTATCTATCTGTCTGTCTATCTATCCATCTAACATCTATCTATCTTATACCTATATTCTGTTTGGGTTGGGAAACTCAAAAATGAATCCTAGTACTAGTAGTGTATCTTGAGACAAATAGAGCCACAAGGTATTGAACTTCTGCCATGCACATGTGGTTTTGATTCTCATAACTCTCTGAGATGAATATTACTATCCTTAATTTGCCATGAGAAACCAGAAGCTTAGAAAGGTTAAATAACTTGTCTAAGGTCACATAGCTATCAAGAGGCAGAGGTTAATTTTGAACCCAGGTTTGTCTCCGTAGCTGACACTCTTTCCATTACTCACACTGCCACTCACCTCTTTGAGACTCTCTTTTTCCTTTTCTTTGTGCCAATAGTGGTATGGAACAGCCGTGTAGTTTAATTACAAAATGTGGTACATTTGAGTCCTAAAATACTATTTTTAGTTGAATTAATCCCTTTGTTTATAGAGTTTCTCATTCCCTTTCAGCAGAAATCACTCCATCATTGTCTACAGGAAGCTAGTCCTCTGGAAGTTGTTAGTTTACTATGGGACAACAGAAAGGAATTCTTCTTCCCTGGAGCACTCAGGGGATACTGAAGGCTGAGCAGACAAGAAGGTAGGATTCTGAAGGAAGGACTAAGGAGAAGAGAAGTTTGTGAACAAGACTGAAAAATATGGGTAAAACTACAAGGGAAACCAAAAGAACAAAATACTATAAAAACCAAGGAGGAAAAAACTTTCAAGGAGAATATGTTAAATCATGTCAAAGCACTATGTCACAGGTAATTATAATAGCTAAGCTTATATATAACTCTTTATGTGCCAATATCATTCTGGTTTACATATGTTATCATCACATTGTTCACAATAACGTTTCAGGATGGATACTACTCTTATATCCATTTTATAGAAGAGGGAGCTAAGGCATAGAAAGGGTGGCACCCAAAGTCACTGTATTAGTTTTCTATGCTGCATAACAATATTACTACAAACTTAGCAGCTCAAACAAAACATATTTTTTGTATGTGTGAGGAAGATTCATCCTGAGGTAACATCTGTGTCAATCTTCCTCTATTTTCTGTATGTGGAATACCTCTACAGCATGGCTGACGAGTGGAGTATGTCCACACCCAGGATCTGAACCTGTGAACCCAGGGCTGCTGAAGAGGAATGTGCAGAATTTTAACCACTCAGCCCTGGGGCTGGCCCTGAAAACACATATTTATTATCTCACAGTTTTTGTGGATTAAGAGACCAGCCACAGTTTAGTTGGATCCTTTGCTTAGAGCTTCACAAAGCTGTAATCAAGGTTTTGGCTGGGCTGTGTTCTCACCTGGAGGCTCAAATGTGGAAGACACTGCTTCCGAGTTCACTCAGTTTTTTGATGGTTGTTGGCTGGAGCTGTTTGCAGTTCCCAGAGGCCGCCCACAGTTCTTTGACACATGGGGATTCATCAACATGGCTATTTACTTCATCAAGCTTGCAAGAAGAATTTCTAGATTGAGTAGTCTGGTAAGACAGAGTCTTATATAATGTAATTTAATCATGCAAATGACAACGCATAATATTTACCATATTCTACTTGTTAAAAGCAAATCACAGACTCATCACACACCCAAAGGGAGGAGATTATACAAAGGCATGAATACTAGAAGGCAGGGATCATTGGGAGGGAAAGTCATTTAGGATCTGTCCATCACAGTCACCCAGCTATTTTGTGACATAATTTGACTCCTTTTCGGCCCTTTGCCATTTGATCTGGCAATATTGATGTCAACAGAAACTTGAGAGGGAGGAGTTTTATTGGAATAATGAGTGGAAGCCCAATTGCTAAGGCAATAGGCATGTTTCAATCTTTCTTAAATCCCTCTTTCTTTTGTTTTGTTTTCTTTTTTTCATGTTCACTGCTCCTTATCTTCTCTCTTCTTTTCCTTCCTCTTCCTTTCCCTTTTCCTCTTCCTTATCCTCTCTCTTAAGCATTCAATTGCTGATATTATATTCAATCACAAATATAATTTACTTAAAGAAGGTTTATTTGCACCAGGTACTAAGTAAGGTGCTTATGATATAGTTATGAATTAGGAACATGTTTTCTGCCTCCCCAGAGCTTACCTTCTGCCCAAGACTCTAAGACAAACTTGCTATTTTGAAAGTTATTCAGATCGACCCTCAGCAAAGCTGTGAAGTGACCATGGTTCATCTCCCCTGTCACTGGCCCTTTCTATTCTGGATTCTTCCTGGGAGGAAGTGGAGTATAACAGGAAGTCCATGGGGACTGTGAAGTTGAGGTTACTTAGGTTTGAAACTGGCTAGTAACCAGAGAACATCCATAAACCTTGCTGATGAAAATCTTAACTTTTTGGAAAAAATCTTAACTTTTCAGAATGTATGGAGAATTCGAACAGGCAAAGCAATGTATATAATGCATTGTTTTTAGGGTCTGCTAGCCCCTAATAATATGTTCTAATTTATGAAATGATGGCTTTGGCCCTCACAAAGTACTTACAGAATGATCTGCAAAAGTTAAATATGCAATTTTTTCACCCATATACTTTCACCAAAAATGAACAAACAAAAGAAAAAGAACCTGATAAACCAGATGAACTTAATTTTCTATTTCTCTCTTTGGTCTTTTTGGTCATTTTATAAACAGAATCAATGAAGACCAGTAATGATTTTGATTTTGTTTGTTAAATTACTATATGAGAAAAATAATGAATACATGATTAAATGAATGAATGAATGGATAATAAAATGAATCAACAAAAGAGGGATGAATGTTAAATACATGAATGAATGAATTAACTACCTACCTACTAAGAAGAAACTAGTGTTGGGCAAAGATGATAAACTCATTTTTGAAAAGGCATAATTTTCTCCTGTAGTTTCCCACTCTGCTCTCTTCTGCTTAAGCTATGCACAGGAAGACATAAAGGAGTGGATGTAGGAGTCTTACTGAAACAACAATGGGGAGAGTCCTGGTGATGTTAGTGCTCACAATTTTCTTTGGTCTGGCAAAAACAATTGGAGCTGAAGAAGAAACTCCCTGGATTTCTGACAATCCTCAGCTAAGATAGCATTTGCTAAAGGAGAATGAAAGCTTGATCCAAAGCCGGAAGTTTACTAACTCGATAACCAGGGAAGGGGCAAGAGTGCTAGCATTTAGTGGGTGAGAATCAAAAGAATACCTTGTAAATAAGGGCTACCACTTGTTGAGTTCTTACTACGAGCCAGAGACTCTACCTTCTTCAAACCCCAGAAGCACATCATGCAGGAGCAGGGCCACTGTCCCTCACCTGAAGCTCCTGGGGCCTGTTGGTTGTTGAGATTCAGAGGTTGATGGCCCTAGAAAAATAGCAAAGTATATATACTGTAAACTACATAACATTTCAGCATAATCACATGAATATTTCTGCCTCTAACATTGTGAATATTGAAACTAAGTATGATAAATGGTGACTTAAATAGTCATGTGTCAATTCAGCAAAGATTTTGCTGCCAGAAGAGCCTTTGCTCCAAACTCATAAAAAATACTTTTCCGATTCCAGGACTTTCTGGATTTCAGAATTGTGCAAAAGGGATCGTGAACTTAAATTTGCATTGCCATCTCATAGACGAAGAAACTGAGACCCAGAGAGGTGAAATTATTCACCAGCATTCACGAAGCTGAGAAGCATGGCAGCTGTGATTTAAAAATGAGTGCAATGCTCATGCTCCTGGAGAGCTTGGGGGCCAGAAGAAGGAGAAGTTCAGGCCCCGCTGGTCCCAGGGTCTTTGAATGTGTCCTTTCCTTTCAATTTATAAGGGACTGAGGACACAGTGCCTCTCAGTGACCCAGGCTTTGCCCAATTTTTGATGATTCCCTTATATTAAAAGATTAAGAAATAGTAAGACTAGATTATGAAAAATAAACACACACACACATACACATACACACACAGAGTGACCTCCATTTGTAGATAAAACTTTAAAAAACTAAATTTAACTTTTTGTGAATATGCACTGGTGACATGGTCTCTCAGCCCCCATTGCCAATCCCAACCCTCACGCAAATGGCTCCTAAGGCTGAGTGCTAATGGATCTCCACTTTCAAGAGGAATGTGTCAGTGTAACTCATTATATATTTACAGCCTCAGGATCAAGAGAATTGATGATTGGTTGAGAAAATGTTGTGTGAATTGTAAAACACAATATGCAAACACACAATCACCATTATTAATAAACAACTCTAAACTCTGCATCCACTATTTCAGCTACACGAGCCTCTTAATTAGAATTTTCTGCCTTTTTTTGGGCTATATGCTATGGTAGGCTGTATCTAGGAATATCTAATACTGTCAACTCAGCAATGGTCTTTACCCATATATTAGATTGCACAGAAAGCACTTGACACATGATTACATTAAATTTTTGATTAAACAAAAAGCAATGCCTATTCCCTTTAATACAGTGGCTGGTGCATATCACTTACAATCCCTCTCTTCTCTGCACTACAAATTCCCAGTCCGTTTTATATTCTTTGTTTCTAAAATGACGACCATAAATTCATGTACACTTACTTATCCCAATGGAAATCATAATTTTTGGCATGTAACCTACTGAAACACATTTATTCAACAAGCAATGAGCACCTTGTATGTCTTTGGCACTGTGACAGGCACTAAGAGTGCTACAGCTAACTAGACAATCTCCTGACATCATGGAGAGTTCAGTCTAGTGCAAGAAGCAGATAATGAGCAAGGGATTACTAAATAAGTTTTTAGTTTAAAACTGTGTAAGTGCTGTGAAAAAAATACAATGTTCTCTAACAATGTGTAAAAGGAGAGCAAAATGAAGGCTATATCAGGGAAGGATTTGATCTGAAACCTAACAAGAAGTGGGAGTTGTCCCTATGAATGGGGTGAGGATAATCTCAGACAGAGGTAACAGCACCTTAAGATTCTAAAGTGGAGGGGAGTTTAGCATATTACAGAAACTGATAGAAGGCTGATGTGTTGGGAACATGCATAGTGAGTAAGGAGGTGAGTGTTATGAAGTGAGGCTGTATCGGGAGGCAGAGGCAGGATCCCACAAACCCTCTCAGGGCATATTATAGTGCACTGGCATGTCCCATGGAGACTGCGTCTAGCTCAGTTAAGACATGGCCCCCTCCAAGGAGTTTACAGCCTAAGGAGAAAGCAGATGAGTAAAGAAATCAAACATTTCAACGTGAACAGTGTTTCCCAGGGGCCTTTTGGCACTGCTTCTCCTGCCTATTGATGCCTGATGCTTCCATCTAAGCTTCCAAATCTCTCCAGGATCCACCTATGGAAGCCCCTCTCAGGTCTGATAATCTCTCATATTCCAAAATAATCACTTTTATATTCTCTAGTCCAACATCCATTAAACTAAGCCAGCAAATGGTTTAAACCAATTCTTGATGAGGTGTAGAATGTGGAATAGTGTTTAGGAGGGAATCTTTCAGTATCACCTGGAGAGCTTTCTAAAATCCCTGGGAATTGAAATATGCTACCTTTCACAGGTAGACTAGACTTTGGTGAGGGTGGCCTAGGGGCAGAAGGTGGGGTTAAGTTAAAGGGAGTTAGTGATGCCCCTCATGAGTGAGATTTGGTGCTTATATGTTTCTCTGTAGAAATGCACCTATTTGAATTTAAATCACAACTCTGTACATACAAGTTGGTCGATCTTAGCAAAGTTACTTAACATATTTTGAACTTCGGTTTTGTAATCTGTAGAATTAAATTATCATTCAGCCTTCATATGTTGTTGCAAAGACTGAAATATGGATACAATGTACTGAAAATGCTCAATACAGTCCCAGCTATTGCCATTAATCCTTCCCAGGATGACTGGCTACCGTTGTGAGCCATCTGCAGATGGGATGCAGAAAAATTAACTAACGTTATCCTATAATGTGGTATATTATATACACTTCTCTTCTAGAGCTTCTTACATTGTATAATAGCTATTTTCCATAGGTCTTTCTTCCATCCTAGGCTTAAAACTCACTGGAGACAGGGAATGAACAATTTTTTATCCACCTGTATATCCTGTTTAAAAGATGGAAACAAAATAAATAAAAAAAAAAGAATCAGGCCCACCATTGGAGAAACTTAAAACTTTTCAATGCAGGGAGCCTAAAAGTCTAGCTTGGGAAAGCAAGCTGAGAAATGGGCAGTGCCCCTTGCAAAGAGACTTGTGAGCAAGGCTGAGGTTTAAGGGCTTCATCTTGTTGAGATGGTGAGTCATTGAGGGTTTTATAAACTGCGTGGTCAAATTTAATTGTGAAAAGATGCCTCTGAACGCATTAGAGAAAAATGGATGTGGCAGCTGAGTCCAGTGAGGTGACTGTGGCAATGATCCAGAGGAGAGATGACGAGAACTAAACCAGGGCAGTGACAGAAAAGATGTAGAACAGAGGAGCATCCTCTGTTCAGGATGTTCAGGAGCATCAGAGGAGCATCCAGGAGGATTTTGAGACTTCAATTGCTCAACTGATTTTTATTGGTTGTTTTCTGTGTACTAGGCATACTAGGAAGACTAGGTGGGACTAATCCCCAGCCCTGCTCTGGGGAAGCTTAATTATTTTAGAAAGAGTGAAAAACGTTGTTAGATGCTTTCTAATCTATGCAATGAGAAGAAATGCACTTTATTTGCAAGGGTTCTGGGAAAATCGAATGAAGTACTATCTATGATAGCACTCTTGAAATATAAAATACTATTTGTCTATAGGTATGCTTAGAAGAAATAATAGTGCAAACAACAATTTACATTTGTTAAATCATTTGCCCCTCACAATAGCCCTATGAGGTAGGTTTTAGCGTTAGCTCCACTTTACAGGTGAAGAAACCAAAGTATTGTTATTGAATTACACCAACTAGCCTGTCTAATCACCATGAAAAGTCATCCTATCTCTTACAATACGGTCTTAGATAACAGATTATAAGAATGGAGCCAATTCTACAGTACAGACTGGTTGGTCTTTCTATAAATTTTGGTGGCATTTGCTGCATGAATACAGGTGAACAGGGCTGAGTCAACAGGCACTTTGCTGTGCCTCGGTCAATTCCTCCTAATCCAGCTTGTTGAACTAAATAGGTGGTTGGATATATGAAAGCTTGGATGGATGGCATGATAATGGATGAACAGATATATCCATCTCAACACCCGAGTTTTAAAGGTAGTTTAACCTGCTCAAGCTCATATAATACACACATGACAGCCCTTAAGGAGAAGCCAAAACACTCATGAGTGTATGAAGACACCCACAAGTATCTAGATACATTTCCTGTTGGACTTCCTCAACATTCTATATTTTCTCCTTTGGAATTAGTGTTTCATTCAGCCTCTGGCTTTTAAACCTGGCTCCCCTTGCTTAGACCATCTTGAACCATTCCTTGTTTAGAACTTTGCAGCTAAGCCCCAATCCACTGGCCTGTCTAACCAATCTCCAGGAACAGAGGGATTCAGACTAGATGGATGGATGAACAGATTAGCAATATGACCATATGAATTACTAAATTAGTGATGACTATTGGACTCAGAAATGTATCCCTTGTCCCTCAACACTATTTTATTTTTGTTTCTACTTTCTACTGCTTGTCTTGGCAGAGTAATTTTTTTAAGAGATTAACTCTAATTGACTGTCTTGTTTATTTTAAGGCACTGCCACATCCATGCCCAGAGCAAAAATTATATAATCGTTCACTAGGGTAACTTGGAGTTCAGCAATTAATGACACAAGCATCCAGTCATGAGATTTTCCATTCTCTGTAGGGTTTCCTGTTTGTATAACTTTGACCTTTGAAACTATTTGTGAGATACCAAATTTCATAGTTCAGTGTGTCCCTGCCCTCCCAGATTAACACACTTTTCCTCTCAGCTATAGCAGATTCTGCTCTATTTTACTTGGATTCAAGTATGTCTTCTTCAAGAGTTTGTTTTGACTTCACACACCCATCATCTGGGCCTTTTGTTCTTTCCTATTTATTTTTTTTTAAGGAATATCCAGATCGTCTCCAGTTCTATCTTGGAGCCAACTGCTTGAGAGTAGAAATGAGACCATGGATTTAGAGAAGGCCACAGATTCTAGGAAGAATGGAGCACCAAGTGTGACTCTGCAAGGCCCTCCAGATTCCAAGCTCAATTGAATTTATCAGAGAGATTGTAGGCTGTAGTAGAAATCCTTTCAGCTTCGTTTTGACAAAAGTGTAAAGTTATGAGATAACCTTCAATTTACTCATTTTAATGTCTTCCTAAATTTCCTTCTTCCTCCTTTCCTTCCTGCCTTTCTTCTTTCCTTTTTCTTTTCTTTCATTCTTTCTATTTTTCTTTCTGTACACATGTATTTACTGTGTACCTTTTATGTGCTAGTTCCTGTATTGGGCTAAGAAGGAAAATCACATAGTCCTCATTATAGATTCTGTAGACTTAGAGTGTGAGGTGTTAATACCCCTATCCTAGGATTCAAACCTATCCAAAAATATCAGATAAGTTTCCCTGTGAACGTTGATACCTGCCGGATAAGTACAAATGAGTGCAGCAGGGTTGGGAAGAAGAGGGTTCCTGGAGGAGGGGTCAGCAAGAGCATAAATCTCACGGAAAGAATAGAAGGACAGCTAGTGTGGCTGGGATACTGAGACTGAGGGAATAGTGTGAGAGATGAGCCCTGAAAGGAGGGCCAGTGCCACAATGAGGTTCACATGCCATACTAAAGAGGGGAAGGGGTGTGTCTCAAATGACCAGATAGGTATTTTTAAAATAGTATTCTAGCTACAGAGCAAAGAGCAGGTTAGAGAAAGCCCCAAGTACATGTGAGTGGACA